TTACTGTTCACCCTGTGTGCTCTTTGAAGGCATTAGCCATTATCCAAAGATTTCTTTTCATAAATCAGGACTGGTGCTGACAGCTGAGGGATTTAACATGACTATTTCAGGATTATAATAGCTTATACAGGAAAATAACAATTTTACCATCTAGGTAAGTATAGCAACACCCACAGTGTTTTACTGGTAACATTCCATGAACATTTCTAGAAATTTAAAACTCAGTTGTGAGAATCTAGGCTGAAATTCAACATGAAGTCCAGAGGCAATACTGTGTACAATGTATAATTTACCTGGCTTTGTCTTATAAAATTAAACAGCTTATATTATACAGGTGCATTTACAGTTAGTAGGTATAGAGGAATCCTTGCCCTACAGAACTGTTTATAATAAACCAGTAGAATATACCCAAACTTGGTGAAGAGTAAAGTATGTCAGGTATGCATGAATCATTTGTTTATATTTGGGCATTTTTGAAAAATTTTTAAAACAAAGCCATGCTCGCTGAACCTTCATCTTTTTTGCCTCAGTCTTCACTAGAAAAAGTTCTAGTAACATAGCCCGGTCTCCAGAAGGCACAGGCAGGGACTGGAAGAATGATGAACCACCTACTGTAGGAGAAGATCAGGTTCAAAACCAGCTAAGGAACATAAACCTTCAGAAGTTCATGGGACATAATAATATGCATCCACGGGTCCTGAGAGAACTGGCAGATGAAGTTGTTAAGCCACTGTCCATCATATTTGAGAATCTGTGTCGGTCTGGTGCAGTTCCCACTGATGGGAAGAGAGGAAACATAAACCACATTTTCAAAAAGGGGGGGATAAAAAGAAAAACATGGGGAACTACAGGCCAGTCAGTCTCACCCTGGTGCCTGACAAGATCATGGAGCATGTCCTCTTTGAAACATTGCTAAGGCAAATAAGGTGGTGAATAAGAAAAACAAGGAGGTGATAGGTGACAGCCAACATAACTTCACTAAAGGCACATCATGCCTTAGAAATCTGGTGACCTTTTACAATGAAGTTATAGCATTGGTGGATAGGGGAAGAGCAACTGACACCATCTATCTGGACTTGTGCAGATTTGACACTGTCCCCCGTTTTATCCTTGTAAATTGGAGATACATAGATTTGACAGATGGACCACTTTGTGGGTAAGGAATTGGTTGGATGGTTGCACTCAAAGAGTTGCGGACAACAGCTCAATGTCCAGGTGGAGATCAGTAACCAGTGGTGTTCCTCAGGGGTCAGTATTGTGACTAGCACTATTTAACATCTTTGTCAGCAACATGGGCAGTGGGATCAAGTGCACCCTCAGCAAGTTTGTCAATGACTCCAAGCTGTGTGGTGTGGTCAACACACTGGAGGGCAGGGATGCCATCCAGAGGGACCTGGGCATGCCTGAGAGGTGGGCCTGTGTGAACCTTATGAGGTTCAACAAGACCAAGTGCAAGGTCCTGCAGCTGGGCCAGGGCAATCCTAAACACAAACACAGGCTGGGCAGAGAATGGATAGAGAGCAGTCTTGAGGAGAAGGACCTGGGAGTCTTGGCTGATGAGAAGCTCAACATGAGCCAGCAATGTGTGCTTGTAAAAAGCCAACCATATGCTGGGTTGCCTCAAAAGAAACATGGCCAGCATGTCAAGGAAGGTGATTTCTACCCCTCTGCTCTGCTCTCATGAGACCCCATACAGCATTCAAATCTAGGGTCCCAGCATAAAAAGACATGGATATATTACAGTGAGTCCAGAGGAGGGACATGAAGATGATCAGAAAGCTGAAGTACCTATGCTATGAAGATAGGCTGAGACAGTTGGGGTTGTTCAGCATGGAGTAGAGAAGGCTCTGGGGAGACCTTATTGAGGCCTTCCAGTACCTAAAGGGGGCCTACAGAAAAACTGGGGAGGGACTCTTTGTCAGGGGGTGGAGTGAAAGGACAAGGGGGGAATGGCTTTAAACTAAAAAAGGGTAGATTTAAATTAGATACTTGGAATAAATTCCTTACTGTGAGGGCAGTTAGGCACTGAAACAGTTTACCTAAAGAAACTGTGGATGCCCCGTCCTTGGAAGTGTTCAAGGCTGGGCTGGATGGGGCTTTGGGCAACCTGGTCTAATGGGAGGTGTCCCTGTCTATGGTGAGGGGGGTGGAATTAGATGATATTTAGGGTCCCTTCCAACCCAAACCATTGTGATTCTATGATACAGTGATCTGGCAAAGACGCATACAAAATTCAATCTTGTCAATAATTAAATGCTTTTGAGAGTGCAAACCATCCCCTTTGCTGACCACGTCAGCTGTGTGCTGTTCTCAGAAGCTCTTTGGCTAACAGTATCTGCTCTGTATCTCTGAGACAGCCTGCTTGGCTGCCTCAACAGACAGCTTGCACCCTCATTGTATCCAAACATTTTTTCAGGCACCCAAATGCAAAATGGAGTTAAAGAAATTTCATCCCTCACATCAGTGAAAATGGACTAATTGGGAAAATATTTTTTTTTAAGTGCCTTTTTCTTTTTATTTTTTCCCCCAAGAATCAATACCTGAATTGAGGCAGTACCCCACAGCAATTGTTAGCTCTACACAGTTTCCATCAGGCCCGTAGGCAAGCTACAGTTAGCAGAACCCCATCTCGCCACACCAATTCATGTCTCAGATATAACAATACATGTTACTTATGCAGTTATTGCATAAAATGACACGCATGTTTTCAGAATGTGTTTCACAAAGGCCAAGAACACATCAGCCTTATGAAAGAGCAGTACTTCCATGGGTTGTTATCTCATTATGCTCTGCAGAGAGTGTGTCTGGTTTACCATTCAATTTCCAATTAAAAAAATTAGATTAAATCAAATATAAATAAAATTGGAAAGCTGGAAGATGAACTACAAGGCAGATTTCTTAAAGTCCCCTCACTTATCTTGGCTTGTACCTGTTCCCTCACAGCAGTCAAATAAGATTAAATCTCCTTTTCAATTGAATCTTATAGGGATATAATTATGCATAATTTGCAACACATTACAGGAAACTGAGTAATAATTTAATGCTATCATGAATTTTTATTCTTCAACTACTTTCAAGAGGAATGGTTTTACAGATCTTGGAAGTCAAAGTTGCTGGCTCAGCTAGCACAACTGGATGTTATTTTTTTTTTCATGGGGCGACAATGGCAGCCCAATCTACCTCAGCTCAATACAAATGAGTAGCAGCTATGTTGTCTTGCAGGCTGGCTGCCTTGGCCAAGAACAATCTGCAAGATCACAGAGGAGCCAAGTTTTGTTGATCGAGCAGTGTCAGAGGGCAGAGAGCTCAGAAAACCTCATACACCTCAGGACATAACTCTCATCAGACCCTCAGCAAGTCATCAGCTGCATGACACTGCTGGACTACAAGGGCCTGAAAGCCAGAAAACAAGAAAAACATTAAGTAACTTCTTTACATGCAAATGAGGACACACTTAGCATGATGAACACGGTATTCATAAGAGTGGATTGCCATAAGAGTGGATTGCTAAACTTTGAGTTAACAGTAGTTGCAGATATTCAGCACAATTGAAAAATTTCTTTAAAAATGTTGGACAAGGATGGTTATGGTATCAAGTCCGTGTTTTTCATTACTGTAAGTACTTATTTCTGTTTTTTTTTTTGTTTTGTTTTTTTTGTTTTTTTTTTTTTATGGAATTTACTTGATTGGTTCCATAGTTCTCCATTATAAAAATAAATAAATAAATAAATAAATAAGTGAAAAGCTAACATCTGTGCTCCTGGGCCTCCATGCCTTTATCAAGACAAAATAAGGCTTAGTGATACAAATTTAACCATCATTGGGCTATACAGCCTTGACATTAAAAGGTGAACAGGAACTCTCAAGGGAGGAAAAATCACACTACTACTTTGCACAAAAAACGGATGAATTTGAGGAGGTTCAGGTCTTTGAGGATTCAAAGATTTCCAGGATGAAGAAATACTGAAGTGTTGTGTGGTTTTCTTATTTTTTTATTTTATTTTAAATTGTTGGGTGTTTTTTTTTAGGTTTTATTTTTGATACTTTCCTGTAGTGTACTTCAGTGTTGGCAAATTACTTACCTAAAATACATCCTGGTAGGAAAAGCACATGTACAAATTCCAACTTTAAAGAATTTCTGTTCTTTTTATGCCCCTTTATTAAGATAATCCTATTTAATCCAGTCAACTACCATATATGTATGACCTTCATTAAGTGTACTAGCCCATGAAGAGACTTCAAGAGATTTGTATTCAGTGCATAGATCATAAGACAATGAAATGTCAACGATCATTTTTCAAGATAGATAAAGTGTTTTATAATACAGCCAAACAATGCTCCATATAGATAATCTTCTCATTATCTTTGTATGAAGGACATTGACATTCTCATTTTTCTCAGTGAGATGCATCCTCACATCAAATAATTCTAAAAATTCTCCTATGTATAGTCACCTTTTGATAAAGAACTTGCCTGGAGGCTTCTTTCCATGTGTGCTTTTGGCTTGTGTTTATTTTGGCATAATCATTTCTATGTATTGTTATGGTGGTTTTGTTCAGGTGGGCAGCTAAGATCCAACACAACTGCCCTCTGCCCTCTCACTCCCCCTCTTCAAAGGGAAAGGGGAGAAAAAAAGGAAATAAGGACGGGGAGATTGCTCAACAGTAATCACGATGGGTGAAACAGAGTCATAGAATATCCCAACTTGGAAGGGCCCCACAAGGATCATTGACTCCAACTCCTGGCACCACACAGGTCTACGCAAAATTCACACCATGTGACTAAGTGCACAGTCCAAATGTTTCTTAAACTCTGACAGGCTTGGTGCCATGACTGGGGACTATTGTTCCAGTGCACAACAACCCACTCTCTCGGTGAAGAACCTCCTTTTCCTAATATCCAGCCTGAACCTCTTGTCACGGCTTTTTTGTTTTGTTTATTTTATTTTGTTTTTATTTGTTTGTTTTTAAACAAAATCTGCATTTTATTTCCAAAAAAATTTAGATCCTAGATGGACACAGCATCACTTGGATACTGTGTCTGGTGGCCTTGGCAGGAAGATTGGAATGGAACTTGGCATTAACCATAAGGCTATTCCCATGGGCACGGGTTAGCTTCCCCCAGATCACTGGTGTCCTGGTGGGCTTGTCACCAGGGGTTACAGTGTTGTTTTTCACTTTGTATACATAGGCACACCTCTTACCTAAGTGGAACTCTATCACCTGGCAAGCATAGACACCTTCAAATTTCAGAAGGTCATTGTGCTTCCACTGGTTTCAGAGGCCATGTTTGTAGCCAGAAAAAAATGGCCGTGGACCACAACCTCCCGCTTCTGGTGTCCTCCCACAGCCCTGATACCAGCAGGCCCTTATGGCAGTGCACCAAGATGAAAAGGGTGTGAGGATATTAGTAAAATGTATTGCCTATTACTAGCAAGTTAGAGAAGTGAGAAATGAAAGAAACTAAAAACACTTTCTCTCCATCCATCCTCTTCCATCTCCTATCCCTGAGCACCACAGGAGAATGGAGGCTGCGGTCAGTCTGTAGCACTTCTCCACTGCCACTCCTTCGTGGTCACTCTGTTCCTGCTTCACGTGGGGTCCCTCCCATGGATGCCATCCTTCCCCAAATGAGCCTGCGGGGGCTGCCCACAGGCAGCAGCTCTTCAAGACCTGCTCCCACACAGCTCCATCCCACGGGGTCCATCCATCCCCCAGGAGCAAACTGCTCCAGCACGGGTCCCCCACGGGTGGGCGGCAGCTCCCCCCAGACCCCCTGCTCCTGCGTGGGCTCCTCTCCACGGGCTGCAGCTCCGGCCCGGGGCCTGCTCCTGCGGGGGCTCTCCATGGGCCGCAGCCTCCTCCAGGCCACATCCACCTGCTCCACCGGGGGCTCCTCCACCCATGGGGGGGCTGCAGCGTGGACATCTGCTCCATGGGGGACCCATGGGCTGCAGGGGGACAGCCTGCTCCACCAGGGGCCTCTCCAGAAGCCCACTCCACAAGAGAATTTTGGCACTTACAGCACCTCCCGCCCTCCTCCTTCACTGACCTTGGTGTCTGCAAAGCTGTTTCTCACTCCTCTCTCTCCCAGCTGCTGTTGCCGAGCAGGTTTTTGTTGTTGTACTTGTTTTCCCTTTCTTAAATCAGTTCTCACAGCATAGCTTTCTGGCTCAAGCTCTAGCCAGCAGCGGGACCCTTATCTAACTTGGGTCAGCTTCTGGATTCTTCTCACAGAAGCCACCCCTACAGCCTCCTGCTACCAAAACCTTGCCACATAAACACATTACAATTATATTTAAACACATTAATATATTTGAAGTCAATGAGTCATCTCAAACATCATCGGCACTTGAGATCAAGCCCTCAGTTTGGAATAAGGACAAATCTGCCCTCACTTAAAAGCTTTGTTCATGAAACTGGAACCAGAATCAACTCTGAAAATGCTCAGAATAATTACACACCATGACTGCATAACAGCAATATGTTTTAGCGACATGTTTTCTGAAGAGCATGCACTGCAAATAAAAGGTATATATCAATAAACTAGTTTTATTATTCTTTCTTTCCTTCTGAACTGGAAGTTGGTTGTCATGGAGCCCTTCTCTCTGTAAGAAAACATTTAGGTGTTAAAATGATCTCGGCAAGGAATTTTTTGGTTATACCTATCTTATGTATCTTTGGTTATACATATCTTATTGTACTGACTTGCACCTGGGTCCACTGACTGCAATAAGGCACTCAATCTGAGAAGCTTCCCCAGAATGATTCCTGCTGCTATTAATAGGTTTGGGGGGAACTTTTACACAATAATGGAATCCCCCAGGTGGTGCTCCTTTGTGTGTGTGTGTGTGCACTTGAATCTTTCTTTCTTCACGGTATTTGTTAGATATGAGTATTAAATAGTTTCATCTGTGAAAGAACTGCTAGATCCTTTACCCTAGCCTATAAAAAAATTCAAGTTTTGTTTTATTGTTGTAATAACTTCAAGCATTCTTCAAGTATCTGTACCTTCTAGCCAGGCAGAATCTGAATTTTAGAGCAAGCAGATGATAACCTAAAACTTTTATTATCAAGAACATTTATTTTTCCTCTGCAAATCAAAAAGGATCAGAATGCGATGTCACCTCAATTTCTAGTTTATTTGCAGATTATCCTTAATATGGACGAGGACAGAACATGAAGCAAAGAAGAGTAAGTAAATAAATAAAAGTCCAGAATAATTGCATCTTATTCTATCAGTTTTATGTATTATCTTGAAAAACAAAGAGAGTTCAACACAGAGTTGGTACCTTTCCATAGACTTATCTGTTTCCTGCTCACAGCTTTTATAGTGTAGCAGTAAAAAGGTAAATGCATTGATGTTTATTGATTAACTGGATATGGAGGACCCTTTCTAAACAAAAATGATTATGCAATAATGAAGAAACATATTCGTTTAAAAAGAGCTTTGATTTTAGCTGGAAATATTATTCTCATTAACAGTAGCCACTATAATTTCCAGACGTAGAGTTACTGTCATACTCCAGAATTATCTTTAATATTTTATACAGTATCATATAGTGTGTACTGACATTTAGCAGCCATCCTCATTACAAACACTGTTCTTGATCATTTTAATCACCTAAAATCAACTGGGCAATAACAGAACTATTCAATAAATTACTGGAGGTACAAAGTGGTATCTCAGTACCTTTAGACCCAAAATTGCTCTATAACTTAGAGATGCCTAGTTTATAAATAAGATACAAAAAATAAGTATTCACTCACTAAGGCAAATTACTTGAGGTTTTCTTAACCTCTGAAATATTATTACACTGCCAACTTTGCACTAACTAATCATGAAAGCTGAAATTTGGGCCTTAATAAAAATGTATTTTAAAATATTTTCCAGTATTGTAACACAAGGGCATAAAGCTCACGTCAAAGGGTTGTACAGGAAATAGTATAAAAAATTTCCAGGATAATCAAAAACAAGCATTATTTTATTGTTAATATTATTTTATTATTATATTTATATAAAAATATATAAATATAATATATATATTATATATTTTATATATAATATAATATTTATATTATTTTATATTATATGTTATATTATTTTTCATATCACTACTATGAAAAAGGTCCATTACTTTAGTATGTGAATGGAGGTGGGACATCAGTGAGACCAATATGGAATCTTGTATCCCATCATGGAAAATGAAGTAATTACTCCCCAATAATGCCATTTGGAAAGAAAAATATCACTGGCCTCAGTTTAAGTGGGTAACTATTTGGAAGCAAGCTGCATCCCTTTTGAGGGATGCTTCTGAACATCCCCAGAGGGGGAATTTGCCATCCTCAGTCACACCATATTTGTCAGATGTTTCCCTTAGCTGAATTATTTTCACTATGGGCCAACAATGTCAAAAGACAATGTCCTACAACTCACTGTCACTGTCAGATTTAAGTATTAGTGCCTACATGCCTCATCCAAGGTAGTTCACATACTTAGCCTGTACTTCTACATAACCAGGAAACATATATTGCCAAAAATTACTCACAGAAATTTTGGCTCCTTTTTAGAGATTTGAAGAATTGATGATTCCTAGGATGTCCACCCCATTTTCTTAAAAACAAAAATAAAAGTAGTTTTATTTGGATATAATTTTGAAGAGCAAAATTTAAATGTGATAGCCTTTTAAATTATTTGTTTGTTTCCCATATTATTACTGGCCATGTCTACACAGAGCGGATTCAATCAGGTTTCTTTATCTGTCCATCAAAAAAAAAAAAAATCAAATATTATATATTTAAAAAATCATCTCTGTTCTACACGAAAGAAAAGTTTTCAGTTTGTTGTTGTTGTTGTTGTTGTTTTTTCTTTTGTGATGTATCTGTATTGCACATAGCATGATGGAGCCCAGAACTGCAGTTGTGATGTGTTTAATGCAAAGAATCATAAATACTGATGGAGTACTGAGTTGCCCTCACCATAATTCATATTTAGCATTCTAAACCATCTCTGCATGTCATGTTGATTTGTTTCACTTGCACAGGAGTAAAGATTTCTTCATACCAGCATGGGGGGATATGAACAAGAAAAAAGTCTTACTGAATTTATCTTGCCTATATCTGTATCTAACTTAAACCATGAACGTGCTCTGAGCAGTGGTATACACATTAGAAATGTATGCCAATACATTTTATTCAAGAAGTTTGAAGAACATGCAGCTGAAAAAAAAAAAATAATAGATAAGCTATAGGAAACAAACATGATTCCAAAGCAGTGAAAGCTGCCAGAAAGGGCAGCTATCTAACTGCATATTTTTATTCATTATCCATTTTTCATATGTAAAAGGATGATCAGAAAGACTCAGACACATTCGAAATGCTGAGCAGCACAGTGCACACCAGTGTGGCAGTACTATTCATTGTATGTTGTCCCAAAGCTTGCTGTGGACCTTTAGTGGGCTACACTTCACACAGAAAATAGTAACACCTATACTGCAGGCGACGTGCTCAAACTACATTTTTAAATTTTATTTGGTACACTTTGGAATGAACAACGTTCATCTCTCAACAACACCTATTTGAGTTAAATAAATGGGAGAAGAGCAGTTTGGGTTATACGCTCTGCAGTATTTGAGTGAGTTAGTGAAAGAACTGAAACCTTGCATACTTGTAATATTATATCGTGGTATCCGTAAAGTCTATGAATTGATTCTCGTGCAAAGACTTGATATCAAGGAAAAGAATGAAATGCTCTTTTACTATCAATCTGCTCTGAAGCAATCATTAAAACATTCACCATGCTGACACAGCTTATACAAAGAAACCAGCAATTCTATTTTTAAAAAATACATGAGTATCTAATCCTTAAGATCCCTGTGAAAATGAAAATGAATAACATTTATCTGGTTTATCTAACAATTTCTTCTTAAAGGAATATATCTTCTGCTCCATAAAAAAAAAAAAAAAAAAAGTACTCTAATCTGAAGGATTAAAATAACCCTGACTCTATCCAATTATTTCTGGTTTTACAGTTTTACATAGTTCATTGCCTCTGGATGGAATGGCATTCCACTGATATCTGGTTATCTTAGATAAAGACAAATGTTTCACTGATTTTAAGGCACATAAATATTAGAGCCTTCAAGAACACTCTTATGCTTGTATCTAAGAAATTAGATTAATATCCAGAGCATATCTTTTCTGCCTGTTGTGTTAAAGGTTAAAGTAGTAAATGTGTGTGATGCCCAATTAGTTGTTATAAGTCTGGTCACATTCAGGGTACTGAACTATTATGATTACGGATTCACAAATAACATGATACACTCTCGGTCTAGTTCCATGAACTACCATGGCCACACTTAAAGAGTCTGGTTGCGTTCAGTGAGAACTATCACACCTAGATTAATGAGTAGGGCAACTTTTTAAAGCAACAGGTGCACAGGTTATTTGGATTGCTGGTGATAAATTCACTGTCTGCAAGTCATATACTAATACCAAAAGTATGAGTAACTCAGCCTGGCTATAAAAGCATTGGAAGATATAAAACAACTCTGTAGAGATTTCTAAGTTTCCCAGGGAGGCACTTGGTATAACCAAGTGTTTTAATCTTACCCAAAGGTGTCCCAATGGGGGGGGAAGAGAGGCTCAGCCCATTGACCAATCCCAGAAGTCAGAAGGTATCCTTTGTGATGCTATCTTCCCTAATAACCCCTCTCTCTTAAGCCAATTTATATTATTTTCTATCCTTCAGTTGGAGCTTGAGTAACCCTAGTCATGCATATCTTGATTATAATTGGTGCAGTTATAGTGAGCAAAGTTCACCAAAAAGTCAGCATTTTATCAAAAACATGGCAGGCTGTTGGCTCAGGGTAGCAAATGTGCAGCTTATCAGTCTCAGTGTGCACAATAACAATCGAGTTTCCATCTTATTACAGAGCCTAGCTGTCTCCACTCTGCTCCACACTCTGTTCCTCTTAGAGTCAGCACACCAAGTTCTCCCAGTGTGATTAGCGTCTAAGGTTGGAGGCCTAGGGAACTTCTGTGTAGTGCAGCTACACTCCACCCTGGAACCTTGTTCAATGTTGCACCTTTTCTTTAAAATGTGAATATCAGTTTAATTTCCAAGTCACCTTAAGCAATTATTCCACACTGCTAATATCAATACATCACATTATCTTCCATGAAGCCATCCAGCTAGTTTTCAAGCAGGTTTAGATATTACAATTTGGTTTGGCTTTCCACTGACACCTACAGGCAAACTAAGCTAAATTTACTCAGCCCAAGATAGAAGATACTGTGAAGTCCACCAGCAAGAAAGTTTAGAGCATCATTGTTACAGTGTTACTGATATATCCATTCTGCAAGACTGAAATATGATGTGAATACTATACAGACACTGTATAATGTTCTTCTGGACATGGGCAAATATCTTTATCAATACATCAGAAGGAAAACTCCCCCTTACTACAAAAAGATTCGGTGACACTATTAGAGGCCAAG